CTTCCCGGGCAGCGGCGGCTGAGGGAAGCCGGGCAAGCCTCTGGTCCGAGCCACCAGCTCTACCAATATCCTTCCAAGAGGCTCGCCATAATGTATTTCTTGTTCCTGGCAACAAACTTGAGTCAGTTCAGCGAGTTCCTAGAGCAAATCTGATCCGGATGGTTGACCTGAAATCCAGGGGGCAAACACTTGAAGATTGAACAGGTGGGCAGGGCTTCTGCGTGTGGGAAACGGGATGCCAGAAATTCGGTAATGCTGCAATTTGTCCTAGATTAGTCTTAGACCAAAGCCAAGTCATTTGACTGACTCTGTATCATCAGTATAAAGCTATTTTGTTGACACCGATTTCGGCTGTAAACGAATGCTCGCAGTTTAGCACGCCTTCTCAATGAATTTCCAGCTAGCGCTTAAAACAGCTCTGTTTCTGTTTCAGCTCCCTTTCAGCAGAGCACCCGGCCTTGCGAGACATGATGTGGCCTCAAATGCTGATGGTGAACACAGGTGTCAAAAGGACTTGAGCCTCGCACAAAAGGGCCGACTGTCCTTGTTAGAAAGAAGTACGAGGTTTTTATGGGCACAACTGCTGTCATTCCCACACACTCGTTCCCCATTTCCGTACCTTCTACTGCAACTCTGCTGCCACATCAGGGAGCTTTTCTCGTGCAGAGTCTAGACGGATACTACATATTTGAAATAGCATGAGGAATTTGGAATGAGGTTTGTTTACCAGCTTGCAGCTCTATGTCCTTATCTGAACCAAACTGCTCACGCTTCTGAGCATCAGACATTGCTGCTCATCAGAAAGTTCTCTCTCCAGACAAGGCACATTGCTCTCAATTTAAAAGAGTTACCAAACACATTTGAAGTGGGAAAAAAATGGGAACAGGCTAACGAAAGAAGTACAACAACTATTTAAGGTCTCACAACTCAGCTCACTTGCTTTCTTCAAAAGGAAGGTTAGGGAGGAATATGTCGATGTTCTTGCATATCTATTTGAGCAGAGGACGATAAAGGCTATTGAAACCAGATAAAATATAAGATTCAGCAGCTGAATCTGTAAAAATTCAGGTTAGAAATCAGATGTGTGTTTTTTCTGAGTGAAGGTAAACCATTCAGCCAGCCAATACACAGCTATCAGACTGTGTGTCACTTGAAGCCTTCCATTCAGCATTGGGTATTCTTCAAAAATACATATTCTGTGGTCCCACACAGATCCTGAAGTACCATAGAAAATACAGATTAATTATCTATGGTCTGAATTGTGCAAAGAACCTGACTAGATGATTTTAACATTTTTGTCCCTCTGAATTTCAAAATACTTTGCATTTTAATACTGAGCATGTGAACAACTCCTTTTCTGCTTACTAATTTCATTGACTTCAACAGGACAACTGAATGGCTTAAATGTGAGCACAGGGTTATGTGCTATACTAACACAAGATCACTATTAAAATCGCAGGAGGTTACAGATGTCTTTCCCTAAGTAAAGCTGATCATACTGCAGCTAAAAAGCCTATAGCTTTCTCAAGAAGAATAGGGAACTTCTCCCTGTTCTCAGTGACTCAGGAAACCCTCTTTAGAGAATGTGGATCTGCCTAACAGCTGAAAGTAAACTACTCTGTACAGAATCTGTTATAATCAAACATTTAAAATACTTGAAAAGTAAAAGAAACTTGGAAAGTAAAATTATGTTTCCATTCATCTGACTTCTTTCCAAGTCTGTAATGCCTATTACACATCAGCTGGATTATATTTGAGACTCATTTCAACTAGTTAGCAATGTTTAGAGGTCAATATAATTTTTTACCTGATGCATTAAAAAGAGGAGATTTATAAACAGTATTGACTAGCTCATATCTAAAACATCACATCAAAACTATGCCATGCTCTTTCTCAAATTCTTTCTCGCTTTCTTCAAGTCTTTAAAAGAGTACGTCATTTTATGCTACATAAGTCTCTCATTAAGGGCCTTAGCGCTCTTTATAGGTTTTCTGTCTTCTCTACAAATTTCACCCACAAGTAGGAACTGATCTGCCCCAGGCTGGAGTCCAAGTACCATGTTTTACACCCTGCATCTTGCAGAGGAGTCTCATTCTTGCCACAGCAACTTTTGGCATATGATACTAAAATCCAAATTGTCTGCCCTGTCAGGGCATCTGCTACTGCAAAGTAACTAAATTGCAACACTAAAAAGGTCCAAGCACATATTTAGAAGTCACTTCATCAGGAAAACAACCGTTTTCAGACCTGTATTTCTGTTATTTTAAATACTACTCTATGCAGCTTTCAGCACTTTTAAAAGTAGGCACACAAAAAGCAGCAAGGCATGACAGTAAATATGAGTAAATAAGTGCATGTATTTAAATACAGAAAAGCCCCAAGTCAAAAATGTCAGGAAGGGTGAGGAGGAAGGCCTTCTAGTCTTCCTTGTAACAGAAGTGTGAAGAACAGATTCCAGTCACTTTGCAGAAAGATCCTGCCTAGTACTGCAGTATCTGAGGTGGATTTCACATTGAAAGCAAGAATTCAAATCCTACACCTGACATATATACATGCATGTAGGTATATACAGACATCTGCATGTAACACACACACACACCACATGTGTGCTTTTTTTGCATTCACAGGGCCTTCTGCATGGATTTTCTGCTCTCCTTGCCTGAAAGCTGACCAGACACCTGGGAACATCTACACACTGACCTCAGCAAACTTTGCACAGGTCTCTCAAAAAGCACTATGGGACAATCTGAATTCCAGAATTACATTGCTTTGAGTGGTTTCCAAGAAGGCAAACGAGAAACTTTTTTTTTCCTTCCTTGATCACAGAGAATTCTGAACCTTTTGGGAAAGCCTTTGAACTTCCATTAAATGTGATCTGTTTAATGTTTGGATCTGTCAAAGGAGAGGCAGTCAGATAAACTGGGCCAATGTTGAAATGGACTTGCTTCCAACACCTCTACAGTGTAATCACATCTCCCTGAGCACCTCTGTAGATAATTATTGGATTAGACATTCAAAGAGGTGATTGACAAACAGAAATCAGGCAAATAAAGATAATCTACCCTTTTTCTAGGCATCCAAAGGGATTCAGACCTACAACAAAGGAACTTCATGTGCTCCACTGCCTACCGTAAGTATTAAACTCTTCACAGCTGGCTTCTTTGGAGCTGGGAACTGTTGGCAAAACATTTGTCTGTGTCTCAGTCTTCGAAAATGAGATGTTTTTTCTGTATTAAAGTACTCTGAAATGAGTCACCTAAAGCAGCATAACCTGCCATCTCCATTTGGTAACAATAGAGCAGACATAAATTCTCAATCTTATCAGGAGTCACCAGTCCCTAAGCATTAGTGGCGCCTACTGAATTTTATCCAGGGACCTAACAGAAAACATCTGTTCTTTTACTTCACAGCAAATCAATAGATTAAATCAACGTCCTCTTTTCTCCTTCATTCTGTTCATTAAAGGCATAGGTTTTCTTTCATTTTCCTTCTATTTCTTTTAATAACTCACTTCTCCTTGCAAGTCAAATCCTACTATATTATAGAGATTTCTATGTCTCTTTCTGGGCTTACTTGGGGAGACATGTATCTATGCTCTAGCATAAGACAAGCAGAAGAAATTATTTTCAAGGGACATATTTACAAAGAGCTCAGTAAAATTGTACCTAGTATTTGGACCAAAGTCCAGCAATACTTAAAAAAGGAACCCCAAATATTGTTTACTGCCTTTTCTGCCTTCTTCCAAGTCTAATTCATGTCACAAAATGTGATGATATAACTAAAAAATTCACCTCTAACCTCATACATTTCACCAAAGTGCTAAAGTATCACAACTGTCATGCAAGATGTGCTTTGTGAGTCACCCACATTAAAACACTTAGTTCAGTTTTGAATCTAGTAATGAATTATCTGGTTTTGCACACATCATCCCACCAGTAACGCACATCAGGTTTGCACTCGAAAATTCTAAACAATACAGCTCAATATCCAGTGTGCTTACAAATGAAAAGCACTCTTCACTTAAATAGTAGGCAATACTAGGCATTTCTGGGCTAAGAGGGAGAAAGATATTAAGACAGAAATGATAAAAAAAAAAACAGGACTGAAAAATGTCATTCTGCTGTAAACAGGAGTATTAACATTAAGAATTTATTTTTTTCCACTTGTACTAATGTTAAAAACACCTAAATATAGCCAAAGTAATAAACTTTTTTCCTGAATAAACATCTCCAGGTAAGAATCTTTAGCACTAAAACTGAGGAAAAATCCCTTATGTGCAGAGTTTTCTCCTTTTCTCTTAACCGTGGAGATCTCACATTTTTTATGCAGTCTAATATGAAGCCAAAATATAATGAAGGGTAAATGAACATACCTGCTTTTGCTCCAATTGGTAGATCTAAATAAAACACTGTAAGGCTACGTCTGACTGGAGCTGAAATGATGTTATATTCATGATATGCTTTGCAAAGGTGTTATGAGAAGTGTGTGGGAGTTTTATTTCTTTGTGCATGAGAAGCTGATAAACAGAGCTGGTGCACAATAAAGCAATATATGCAAGTATATGAAATGCTTTAAATCATGCAGCAGGGATAAATCCCTGCCTGATCTAGATAACAAGGGTTTCACTGGAACACTCCATGGCACACTGTGTATGTACTACAACCGGGCAGCATAAAACCAGAAACATGGGAGCAAGGCAGATTTGCATCCAGGGCCCTACAACAATTGGAATCAAGCTTTTTTCCCCACGTCATGGTTGAATTTAGCCACCGTAAATCAAAACTCCTTTTTTGGATCTGTAACAAGCACACAATGTAGCAACCTCAGAACCACCTCCTTTAGGATTTTTCTGTCATTGTAGTGCAGCACCATGAGAACCTTGTCACTGGGACTATTGGCTGTCACTGAGCTGCAGCTTGAGGGAACTCCTCCCCACAGTTGGAGGTGAGGATTAGAAGAATTTTCTCTGTAGAAAATAAAATTACTACTGGAAATTAATTTAATATGGTGTCAAGGCAAAAAGAGATGGAAATAAAGAAACACCTCTTAGGATAAGAGAAGAGGAAAGAAGGAGCAAGAGGAAAAAATTACAGAAGTGGCAGCCCACAGCCAAGCAAAGTTTGGTCTAGAATGGTGCAATGGCTGAGCACCCTATACTTGGGAATCTTTGTCAGTCAGGAAAGGAACTGATTTGGCTGTCATCTGATGAACGACAGAACAGCCAAGTCACTCAGGAAGTGGGATATTGTCACTTTCTGTCTCAGTTCCTATGAAGAAAACAGTTGGTTTTTTTGAGATTTCTCTTTGTTAGCTATTAAAAAACTATAGCTCACTTGCTACTGAATAAAAGTCATAAGAGATGTGGGGACAAAAAAACAAGTGATGCAAAACTCCATAAAATAATTAAACCTCAGGCCTACGTAAACGCTGACATCAAGTGTGTAAAAGTCATTGATAGTTCTCTGTCTCATGGGAAACAGAGATTGATGAAACACAGATGTGTTCACAGCAATTGGTGGCATACATCATCATTTCCACAGCATTCACGTTAAATTGCTTAGCAGCTATAGTGCCAGTATAGATTATGGGATAACCCAGTTCTTTCTTTTAATCTCAGGCATCTGGAATTTCAGGGTCAGAAGAACCTTTCTTCCTTCCCTCCTTCTTTTTTTAAAGTCAAGATAGATAAAGTAGTAATACCAAAGGCATGAGAATACCAAGTCTCCTCTAAGCAATGTATATTCACATTGCATTCAAAAATAACTTTAAGAGTAATCCTAAATTTTAATATATATTAATATCCAACCGCAGGAGCACAGGAAAAGAGAGAGAAGCTTAGAGTAACAAGAAGTTCAAAAAACATCCTGTTAAAGTATTGGCAATGCAGCATCCTTCTATATGAACCACAGCTGTGCAACTTGCCTATTTTCATTACATTAGCAAAGCTAGGAGCCTCATACCCTCAGACAACCAGCTGAAGTGACAGAAGGTCCAAAAGATCCCTTCTAACCAGAACTAGATGATACTTAAATGCAAGACCATTCTGGACCACATGAAGCTGATCCTGGAATTACAACTGAGGTGCTTAAACATAGGAACTCTAAGTTCAAAGATATTTGGCTGAAATCCAGCTGGTGTGATTAAAACTGGGCAAGTGCTGTGCTTGCCAGGTCAAGGATTCAAAGGCAGCCTCTGTAGCTGAAGAACTTGTACTTTGAAATCAGATGGCACAACTAATAAGCACTATGATCCTACTATGTTAAAAAAAAAACAAAGAAGAAAAGTAACTGAATGTGCATTTAAACAGGAGGACAAACTAAAAAAAAGTAAATGCTGTATTTGCAGGTTATTATTATCTCAAAAACTGAACTCACCATGGCATCTAATAGAATAATAATATAAGGAAGCAGCAAGAAAGTAAAGAGAATGTCTTCCAAAGCTGGCAAGGGCTAAACCACAGTGTAAAGTGTTAAAAATAAAAATTAAAATAAAAAACTTGGGATATTCGCTGGACTAATCTCTATAAATTTTAAGTAGCACCAGGAAACCATAAGAGTAAAGCCACTTGACCACGTTATTGGTTTTATGAAAATATGTTCCAGAAAACAGACAGCTCAGACCTATACATGTTTCCATGGCATGGAGATCCTTTTATTTTCTGTAAAATTTGAGTTTCCCACCATTTTATTTTACTAAACTTTGAGGTGATTGTTACATTACATGGGTTTTTTTTCCCCTGATGCATGTTGTTGAGGTTTTTTGCTTGTTATCAGCTCTATTTGCAATAATATTTTTGTAAATAATTTAGGAAATGTCCTAACCCCCCCTAATTTAACTGCTAGCTGGTTCAGTAATAAAGAAGGTAAATATTTCCACCTAAAGTGAATGAAAATTGAAGGTCACTAAGGAAGCTTATCACTCAAGGCACATTCTGGTTTGCTGTTTGGTTATTCTATTTGTGTAAAGGGAGTTCACATTTATGAGTTTCATCACAGTATCAAGCTACAACTCACTGTCCTGAGCCTAATAATTTTAAAACATTCTTTATCAAATAAGTAAATACTCTGAAGTCCCATTCAGCATCACACATTTAATGCCCTCAGTCACCAGAGCAAAAAGAAATAAATACAAAATGACGGAATATATTGTATTTCTTGAAACTTTGTTTCAAGGTATTATTGAAATATGGGTTTTTTCCCAATCTCAATCACCTGGACAAAATCATATACTGCAACTCATCAATTCGAGGCAATGCCTCATCTGCCTTAGCCTGTCTCAATTGTCCCAGAGCATTCAAGAACCAAAATGGTCTAGAGAAGCCAGAACACATTCCATCACTCCTTGAGAACAAAATCAGCTCACTGAACTATTGTATCTGTTTGCACACATACAAAAATGCAGCTCTGCACAGCTTTTCTCAGAGAGAGTGGAAGCAGCCTGGACCATTTCCCAGGCTGGGTGGTAAGTTTTTACACTCCCCAGTTTAGCCAGGTTTCCATGTGTCACAAGGACATTTCTGTTTTCTGTCAAGGCCAGATGTTTGAGGTTTTTCCCTTTATCTTCAATGTTTTGGGAAACACCTTTCTTTCTTAGGAACTTTGGGAAAAAATTCCTAGGAATTTGGGAAATTTCCTAGGAATTTCCCTACCTGAAATATTTGTCCTGTGTGAAAAGGCACTTCTCAAGTCCCTAAATCCCTGTCCTAATCAGGACTCCGAAAATTTCGCTTGTGCCAGTGGTAATTGAGCCTTATTGCACTGTGATAAAGCCATTCAGAGGTCGTGCAACTCTGTAGCAGCCGTGTTTATGGCTGGTTTTAAGTGTGACTCTTTTGGTCAGATGAAATTGCAGAACCTGGGGAAAAGTGATGTATAGTGTTAGGCTGTATTTTTATTTCTAATTAATTTTTGATCATCTGGTGAGCTGAAGCAGAATGTGTATTTGCTGTTTTAGCTAGGCTGGGCTGGACTTCAACATTAGAGATATTGATTTAAAAGAGCAAATTATTTTCTGCACCCATTTTTTTATGTGTTTCCATGTGCTGTTGCAAACAACAGGATAAAAATTAAGCATAATTGACTGAGGTTTCATACCTAAGAGTAATTTCTCTATGCCTTCAGCCTCTCTATGCTAACAATTAATTTCAATTTCTCTGTGCCAGCAGCATCTTCAGTGCTGTTATTCCAAGGACTGAAGTCACCACAACCAATTCAATCTATGTTTGACCACCCTGGCAGAAAACTCCTTTAAAGATCTTTGCAAAAGGCGCTAGAAAAATTGCTAAGGCTATTTGCCTTTCATCTCTTTTTCCATCAATAAGAGTAATTTCCCATGCTCCACAGGGTCAAGCACCTGCCTAAGAAGTTAGAGTATTTCTTAAATAGCTGTAGCCCTAGCTTCATCTATGTGCCTTCTGTACCATGTGCCTACATGCCTCAGATGAGCACAGGAGTCATAATACCCCCCTCACCTCCTGCTGGAACAACTCCACAGCTTGTTCAACCACAGAAGATAAAAAAGGGATGCAGAAGTTGAGCACCACTGCTGTGAGTGACCACCAGCAGCACGTATTCTCTCTTCACCCTGTATCTTGCATACCTTGAGCGCATCTTTGAGAAATGAGCCATTCAGTGGTTCCACCTATTTTATTCCCCCTTCTTGAAAAGGAAGTATGGAAGCAGGTGACACTATAGGAGAGTATTTTTGATATACAAATGTCTTCAGGGACAGCTCACTTGGGTGGGCTGTTTCCAAGATGGGAAAATCCCCAAGACCAGCTCTGGAGAGGCCAGCAGTGCTTACACAGGGAGCAAGACAGCAGCAATGGATATTACAGTAACTGCACTGGAAAATTCCCCCTCCTCCCCTGAGCATCTGTTCTGCATGTGTTGAACAGATCTTCTTTGTCTCTTGTCCAGCAGTATGTGAACGAACTCAAGTTCCCTCAGGGAATGAAGGGATACAAGAGAAGTCAGCATAAAGATTTGTGCTGGAAGGATAAAAGATAACAGCCTGTCAAACTGCAGACCTTTAAAGCTTAACACTTTCTTTCAAATTTGCTCTCACACTGCTATCTACTGCCAAAATATTACGAGTTTGTGACCCAAACTTACATTTACTGCTTCTTATCAAGACATTTCAGATGAAAAAAAGAGTAGAAAAAGTACAATGTATAAACAGAAAAAATTAATTGGTTCGTTTGTATCATAAAATACCATGAGATGTGCTCAGTTTTTAGCAATCACAACTATGCAAGACAGCCTGTACACTCAGGCAAACATTTTCATTGGTCACTTCTTTGCAGAAGTGATTTTATTACTTCCCACACATGGAAACCTTCCTCATCTCCCCGCAAATGTTTAACTTCACAGTTTAACCTCGATTCAAAATGCCAAGGCATCAGATCTTGTGTAGTTGAATGTTCCAGCCACCTAATCATGTAAACTTAATATAATTTCTTGTAGAATCAAATAGTAATCCAAGATCACTTAAAAACCACGAGCTAACTTGTTTGAGGTTTATTTAGCTCAGGGTGTCCCTCAAAAGCACTGTGCAAATTTTCCCAAGTTTCCTGTAACAGAGTTTGCTTCAGAAAAGTACATTTAAGTCAGAGCAAGACAACTATTGAAAAAAAGAATTTCTATTAACAATTAAAACATATCAGCACAGTGTTTTGACAAGGACATGTTGATTCAAAATCCCAAGTCCTTAACAAGTCCTTAAATAAGATATTTGGTTGGTAGCACTTGTCTATATTGTCCTCCTGGAGTCAGCTTCATGCTTCAAATTCCCAGTGCAGACAAATTTACCTGTTTTCAGACTACAGCACATGTTAAAGCACTAGCATTTCAGATTTTGATTTGAATAATTCACACAGTTTCTGTAAACAGTTTTAATCAGGGGAAGAAAAAATGGTCTGAAAACTGTTCTTTTGTCACTCCCTGAAAAGGAAGGAAGCAAATGCACATCCTGAGGGCCATAAACCATGTACTGAGGTGAAAAATCTTCATCTACTTCACTAAAGAATTGGGAAAACTAATACACATGCCTGAGATGTAAAAATGGTGGCACAAATTTTTAAAATTACCAGGTATTTGAATCAATGAATATACTTGAATTTGACTCTACAGTACATTTGTATTTAAATGTCAGTGCAGTCATGTCTCAGCTGTCAACTTAGACAGCTCTGAGACAGGTTATATATTTCAGAGCCTGAGGGGCTTCTTGCTTCAGTGAAGTGGTATTTAATTAGATGTATTTCAAATTATCAGTGCAATAAGCACACATGAGAGAAAAAAAAAAAAAAAGAAAAAAAGGAGCATTCAAGACAAAAGTTAAATTTGGGAGAAAGACAATTTGCAGAGCTGAGATGGCAAATCAAGGAAGTGTTGCTCCCTCCATGCCCTTATTTCTAGCTGATGCCTGCCTTATTTGGTGTCACAGTCAGGATTTCCATGGGATGGGACCAGCAAATAAGACACACTGGTGTTGCTGGGAATCATCCCTGTACTTGTTTTGTCTGCACCTGGAACCCACACCAGCTGTATGAGACTAAAAGGTTGGCTGCTTCTCACACACTGTTTCTGGCAAGGGGAAGTGCAGTACAGCAGTACCAGTTCCTACAGCAACACCTGTGGCCCCCTGGTGCACCCACAGAGGAGTACCCAGCACGTGTCTGGGATCACCTGGATCCTCCATCCCTCAAGCTCCGTGTTCCCTCGGTGCAACTCTCTCCTCACAAAGGCCACCCAGGAGCTGACTAACAGGAAAATCTATTAGCTGCTGCTCACCTGGTCTGGATTTTAGAAGGTGAGCAAGAGGGTACATTTCCTATTATGAATCCCCCATGCTCCCCAGCCCCACGGACTGTTCCGTTATTGCATTTCTTGTTGAGTATAGATCCACGTTTCGATATTGCGCATGATGGAAACTCTCTTGGCTTTCTGGAATTCATCACAACCTTGATCCACTCCAAGCATACTGGTGAGCATGAAACAATAGAAACAGCCTTCCAACTGTCACCTTGGATTTGTCATCAAATGTGGAATATTATGGGAAAACTTTCAAGAGGTGAAATAAATACCTTCCCAACTGGCAAAATAAGCAAAACATCACTTCATCATGTTTAACTAACTCTCAAGTGTCTCCTTACACCATTTATACTGACTTGCAGCTAGCTACAGTGATCATGTCAGAACCTTTGTCAAGGGTCAAAACTATTCAACAAAAAATTCCAGTAATTTTGATATTATTACTGTTACAGATAACATATTTTATTACACAATGATAAAACAGGTATCTTAGCAGAGTGTATGCCATCCACTTAGCCTGAACTGCATCTTTTAGTACAGCGTGGATGGTCAAACTTAGCAAATTGTACCAGCTCACTGAAGCCTGCCCAATGGCAGTTCTCAGGTCTGTTATAGCACCTATGCAAATACCTGTTTTATTTCATCTGCAATACAGTCAACACTGCTCCCTGAATACTTGAAACATGGCCATTGGCTCATGGTCTGAAGTAAAATATAGGTATTGCTGTAATTTAAAATGTGCTAGTTAGAATATTTTTCTAAGTTTAATATATGTGTTAGTTATAATATTTTTCTGTGTTTTAATGAAGTGGAGTATGCATTGGCAGAAACCCAGCAGGGAATTTTTGACAATTCCTGCACAACTAGAATCACCAAAACAATTTTAAGTGACCTGCATGGTCAGTTAGTTAAAATTTGTAATACAGTTGCCATATAAAAAGAGTAAGTAATTGATTCAGCAACTATTCCTCATGAAATAATTTTTTTTATTAAAAAATAGAAGTTTGCTGCAAGCCTTCTTTTGTTGGCTATTTTTCTGAGGAATAGAAGCACTAAAATCAACAATCTCTGCCCCTCAGTAATAAAAGTATGGCCCTATGCATGCACATATCAATACTGTAACATTTGAAGGTTCTGAGTCTTGGCTGAAATGAGTCCATCTGTTGTGCTTCAAGTAAGATATTCCCATAAAATACAGATGCAATAAGAGATGTACACTCGCAGTCTCGTGGCTTGGGGTTTAAGTAAAAAAGTTAAAACTTCTGCCTTGAAAAAAATATCTGAGGCAAACCAACCAAATGGCTTCATCTTTTGATGTTGCTGGATCAAGCATGCTTTGCTGGCATGTTCAGAATCAAAAGAAACATCCTGATAATGAGACATAGTGTTTTTGTGATCTTTTTTGATTTCCTGTATTAACATTAATGAAATAAAGAAGGCAACATCTGAAGTCTAAGGTCTTCATTGTTGCACAGTACATAAAAAAATCCTTTGTGGTCAAAAGAAAACTTTTTTTTTTTTAAAGAGACCTTTCTTATACACCCCTCAGACAAAAACCTTATAAACTTGTTTTGTGATATGCAAACCTATTTCTCGTTAAGTTTACTGTTCTCTACTTGCTTTCCTCATCTGTTTACTAATGTTCCATTTATGGGAAAATCCACATAAATGGTCAGGCCATTTGCATTGCTCACATCCTCAGAACCTGAAGCTGACATGACACATAGGTATATACTGACCAATACACAATGGGATTTTTACCTGTTTGGATATTTATGATCCCTCCTTGGAAGGTAGTCTTAACAACTCTCTCTAACTCCTTGACTTCCTGGAAAAATTGTTTTGGGAAAAATAAAAGGTAATTAATCATCTATATCAGATGTGTTTTTCTTTTCCTGAGTATCAACAGTGAAAACTGTCTTCCCCTTCAAGTAAAATAGAGTCAGAACATGACTTTGGCAAGTTCCACTGCTCTGTACATCACCCCTGAACTAATTTCAGAGAAGTCACTATTTCTGGTTTCTGTTCATTCCTGCCATGATGAAAATACCACTGTTCCAATTTTAAGAATGAAAACTAAACACAGCAATTTAAAAATTGTTCCAACTAAATGTTTTTAGAAATGTTGAAAGTTTTCAGTGCACTGAAGCACTTAGACATATGCATAACTTTAAAGATAGGATTTGATCACACTGGTGTAAAACAGAATAATTCCCAAACTTTAGGTATATATATAACCTTCCTCTGATGTGAGTCAGAAAAACACCTTCTTTGAGTACAATTTAATAAGATACAGGAAATATGTGATTAAGGGCTGTACCTTCTGAGTTGGCCAAAGCAGGCACAGAAGCAGTTTATCTACTGAGTTTATCACTGAGTTTATCTACACTGGAGAAAGAAATCACTGCTTTGTATGCAGCTTTCAGAAAAAGGGTTCTGAGTGCTACTATGGTCTGGAGGAAGTGTGTAAGCCTCCTTATAGCCATCCAGGATGTCACAGAAAAAAAATTGGGCCACAGTCTCGAGCTCTCTTTGAACGCGCAAGTCATCAATAGCAGGCCCAAAGAACCTATGATCTCTGTGATCTCGCCTATTCTGCCAGGAAATGAAACCCACCCAGGCAAAGTCACCCTCTCCAAGCACATTTCAACTAGTAGAACTATTCTGGGTCGGTTTGGTCCATTATAATGCCTGACAATGACATATTTGAGCCTTTACTGGGGACCCTAAAATTGGATTTGCCATCTTACTTAACCACTCCTCATTTTCACTTCTTCTTGATCCCCTACACCTATCAACTTTGAAGTCACATATGATTCTAAGCAGAGTACAGACTTTGCAATGCTCAAATTGGAAAAAAAAATCCTCTTGCATTTGTTTTATGAATATGTAAATTATCTCCACATAGGTTTATATATTCTTATGAAGCATAAGATACATGAGATATGAGAATAGATGCCATTTACAACTGCATGACTGAACATAGAAAACAAGTCAAAGGACTTCTAAAGAATTTGCAGATTTTTCATGCTATGTTCTCTAAGAAAAGTATTTTTCACTTAGATATTAAAATAGTTACAGTAGTAATACATGTTATATGACCACTGACTGGATCAGAACATGCTGAAAAAGGAGCATCTCTCTTTATACTTTCAGTTTAGTTACTTCATCCTTCCTATTAAACTCTTATTTTTGAGTATCTAATTTCTCAAAGCTCATGCCTGCATAAACATTTCAGCTTCTTATTAATATAGCTGAGCTTATTTCTTTTTATCTTAATATATTCAGTACCTCAGAAGGCGCCACAGCTGGAATGCAGCTCTTGGATATGATCTTAAGTGCTTCAAAGGGAACAAGAGAGGTCAGCATGCCTGAAAGAAAAGATATCGCCACTGTCAAGGACCAAAGAGATTGTGACAAGATGGGAATACAAAAGTTAATATAGAAAAGCAGGGACAGAACCATAGAGGTTCTAGTGGTAGCACAGTTAAAGTTTGCTTTCCAAAAAGGAACCATGGAGCATATTCAAATCCAGAAAAAGCCTTCCCAAGAGGCAAATGAAGTCTAGTAACTCACTGCAATGCTATAGCAAAGGGATTCCCTACAGAAATACAGAACAGCTGAGGTAAAATAAAAGCACTTTGTAAATCAATATTATTTCTGAGAAGCAGCTCACACTTTTTTTGTCAACATAAAACATTAAGTTCTGGCATATTTGAATAGTTAATTGGGCTGCTGGTGTGTGTGCACTCAGCCACATTGGAAGTAGCAGAGTACCATAGGAAAATGCTTCTTGCAAAAGAAATGTAATGCATCAGCTTTTTCAAAGTAATATTAGTAAACCAGTGTAAATGAAATCAGCATTTTCCCCCAGTTGGCTCAGATGAAACAAAATTCTAAACTTATTAAGAAAGTTCAAAGGAAATATGGAAAGGAAAAGGTCTAATGAAAAGGAATGTTTATATGGAGTTTCAAGTAGTTTGTGTCCATATACAAATATTTGTTCAGGGATTATTGTTAATGAAAATTCTTCTTATGGAGTTCAGCCTTCGTAATATCTTTCAATTTTCCTGAAGTTAGTCACGTCCAGAAAATAAGCATTCCTGATGTTTTTATGATGCAGGCAGACGTCTTACAGGTAAGGTCACCTAATCCATTTCAGTTGTGTTTGTTGTGAGACACATTGTTCTTGTCCCAGTCACTTCCCTACACGCAAGATGTTGAGCCCCTTTCAGGTAAATAGTAAAAAGCAATGAAGAAGACCCCAAATTTCACACATTAATACTTTATATAGTACAAATACCCACATACTCACACATTAACTCAACATCCCTGGCATGGGCAACAAAATTTCACATAACCTCTGTGAAAAGTTCACAAGAGCAAACGCTGAATTTGGAAGGCAAGTGCAATGACAGGCTGACAAAATTTGGTTAAGAAGAATAATTTTGTCACTGAGTGAATCAAGGTAACATCAGTCATGAGGACGTAGCACATGCAGGAACCTACAACTGGTACCATCACTAACTCAGCAATTGCAGCAATAGATTCCTTGGGTTAGAGACCTCAGTAGCAACATAAAAATCAGTATATTCAAAAAAATCTCTTTTGCAGCATGTATTATTAGTTAAGAAATACTATTTTTGGGGGTGATGACCTTCTCCAGTAGTTGTGCATTGAGGCTAAAGCACTACTACCCACAATCCAGATGTAGAACACATCCGAAGTTCCTGTCAAGGCTCTTTGCCTCATGACAAATCAATACTTGCTTCTCACACAGTGACTCAAGAGATCCTGAATGGACACACTTGTTTTACCCTCTATCCTCTCTCCTTCTAAGAGAGAGGGTAACTGAAGTCTGAGTAAATCACCAACACAGTCTAGTGGTGAATGAAGATTGCAAAGCCTCCCATCACAGATAACACAGTTATTACCAGCAGTGGTTACTCAGGCCTCATTGCTGCTTGTAGGGCTTGGAAACTATTGGAACTGGCACTGAACCATCAGAACAGATGAAACCTTAAAACAGCTCCGTAAGTAACCTTTTAAGAGGCCTTGCAGATCCCCCTTCTGCAAGCAATTTCTGTGAGTAGAACGTTCCAAGTGCTGCAAATTCATGGGCCAGGTCCTTCTGAATGGTGTGACTGCTAAAATGAAGCTGATATTTTCACCATATCCCATTTAACTTCTTTTCTTCTTCTTCTTCTTCTGATTTGAACCTCCAGATAACTAGAAAATGCAAACATCACTTTTCACTTATGCCAGAGACTGAACCTTTCCTTTAGCATATTCTGACTTGTAGTCTTTTAAAAAACAGCTCTAAAGACTGAGGGTTAAAAACCAATATTACTAAATGTCACAGAATCTAGCAGCGAAATTGCAAGGGTTCCTAATCCTTGTTTTAAATTAATTTGGATGAAGACATTTAGGTTTGACATTATAGTGTTTACAGGTTTGGTTCTACAAATCTACATATATTCACATGCTCTTGGAACAAAATATTAGTTCTTGATTTCACTTAATTACAGCCTTGAAGTCTATATTAATTTGGGAGGGCCACAGAGAGTAAAACCCCTCCAAGCCTCTGGTTTTCACACTGAGAATCAATGCATCTATGCTTTTTCCTGACTAACCTCAGAACTGTCTGGCTCTTACATTACAATTACTATCACAGTTTTGAAGGCAGTGTTAGTATCTAAGACAGACTGCTGCAAACGAATTTGCATTCTCTAGTTG